GCTGGTCCGACTGCTGCACCTGGAGACCTCATGCAGCCCTTGCATTGCGTGTGGTGGGCGGAACGGCCCCGGCTCCCCTTTGAAGTGGGCTGAAGCGACACCATGTGCTCTGTGCGCCGCTCAGGGCTCCAGATGGCAAGTGCAGAGGAAACCTCTTCATCTCTGGAGTTGAAAGGCCTCGCGGAAAGCTTTCAAGTGGGGTCTGGTTAGAGCCTGCTCTGCCGGCAGCCTGTTCTCAGACTTTTCCCTTCTTCTTTCATCTCATCACCCCCTGCTCCTGTTGGAGACATCAGCAGGGCAGCGGAGCTCTGGGAAAGGGGCGGGACTGACATCCCTGGAGCCGGGAGCCTTTTGCTGACCCAGCAGGTACAGCCAGGGCAGCAGCAGGGAGCAATTTTCCCCTCCCTGTCGCCAGCCCAGACCTGATCTGCAAGGCCCCCTTTACTAAAGAGACAGGAGCTCAGTCTCCAGGGCCTGTTCGGTTCCTGGCTTCTCTGCCAAGATGGCTCATAATGGGGACGGGGAGAGGGTAAGGGGGGACCAATTAGTGCCAGCTGAAATGGTGCTGCTGTGGGCTTCTGCCTGCTAACAGCAGGACTGAGCCCCCACCAGTTCGTTTCACATGTGCCACCTACCGCGCAGGCATCCGGAGATACTTTTGGCAGGGTGAGACGATCTGAAGAGACCTCAAATCCAACGTGACAGGGCTGGTGTCATGCCAGGGCCGACAGATTTACCCCACGTGTGAGCTCAGCTGGAAAAAGGGAGCGTAAGAAGTGTATAAAAAGGCCACAATCACCTACGACGACGACACACGTTGATGGGAAAAGGCACAAAAAGCGAGAAAGGAAAACTGAATTCGTCCAAACAAAGAGGCCAAAAATGAATCAATCAGAATCAGTGTGTCAGAAATTAGGCCTAACTGGGGGACACAATCCCGAGGGGGCAGTCTATTCCACACACACAGACTCCCTTCGTGGCTCCTTATAGAAAGAGACTGTGGGGGAAAAAAGCTTCCCTTGGGGTTTTGCTGCAGTTGGCCCCTCACTGTGTGTGTAGCCAGCTGCTCCTACGGGCCTGATCCACACCACCCCCGTCAGGCTGCGAATCCGGCCTTTGATCAACGTCCCAATGAGGATTATCCGCAGGAAGAAAACCAGGAGGCAGGAGCCTGCCTGGCCCACGTCTCTGATCTGACACCAGAAGAAGAAATCCCAGGGAAACATTTGGGGCGGGGGGGGGGGGGGGGAGAGGGGGCTCAGCTGGTGGAGGGTGGCTGGGAGAACATGGCAAGGGCTGACTCGTGCCCTCAGGTCTCATTTTGAGGCCAACTCCAAAGGGGGCTGAAAGCAGAGGGAGAGGAGATGAAAGGCTGGGAAATGGATGCCACGTTCTGAGAAGGTACTTGAGGTAAGGGGCTGCATTTCAATGGGGTCCATGTTACCCTGTGCTATGCCAGAGGGCAGCCGGATGCCAGGCTCCTTCTCTGGGCACGGCTGCTTTCGGAGCATGCGACAGGCTCAGTCAAGCATGGGCACCAGCGGGTTGCTTGTAGCTTGGGAATGAGGCTGTTTGTGCCAAAGGAAAATGTCCTGAGAGTGGCCAGCCCCATGCTATCCAGAGGGCGAGATTCCCCAGGGGCGAGTCCTGCAGCCTGGTCTGAACTGTGCAGTATAGAAACAATCATGCAGGCTGGAGGTGCCTCATGCTAAGACATACGTTTGGGACCGGGACCGGACGCAGCATGGACGAGCACTGGCCGGAGAGTGAAGGGAGTCAAACAGCAAACACGCCGAACCCTGGAGGGCTCGGTCCAATTCACAAACTACTAAATCAACCCACCACCACCGACCACAAGTGCTTCGCCCTCTGCCTGACGGGTGGAAAACACTTTACGGACAGATCCCATTGGCAACAGCTGGAGCTGCAGCTGCTCGGCACGTGTGAAAATCAGGGGCTGGGTGTCGGAGTTCGGCCCACAGCCCAGGGTTCGAGGACACGGTGGGGAAGCCTGGCCTGTGGGACATGCTCACGGCCGCGCAGGGCGTCAGTGGCAGAGCCCAGATCTCCAGATCCCCGAGCAGCAAAGGGAGGTTCCAGCGCGAGCAGTGACCCCGTCAGCGAGTGAGTTCCATTTCCCCAGAGAGGAACCCCAGGGCTCGTTCCGATCGAGTCGCTGTCTCTCAGGTGCGTCTCTCCGCAGCCTCTCATCGGCTCCCCCGGCTTGGAGCCAGCGCAAGGTCTGCGTGGGAGAGAGGACGCTTGCTTCCAAAGCAAATTACCCACCCAGCTCCGCAGTAATTACAGACACAAAGCTCCTCTATTTAGCTTTGCATTTACTTCTATGCTAAACTGCTGCCCGCGCCCCGTGGCACCTTCCCGGATCGCCTGACAGCAGCTCTCTGGGGGCCTCTCACTCCCTCTTCCTGAAACCCTCCTCCCTGCATCCTGGGGCTTTGCAGGTACGGCTGTGTGACCGAACCGCTCCCCTCTAGGGGCCTGCAAAGAGCTCGGCCACAGGGACTAGGCCCGGGACGGGAGAAATGGCCCCCTCCCATCTCAACCCACACGGAGACCAGGCTGCCTGCACACTCAGGCCACGTCCACCCCCTGTGGGCCCAGTTTCAGCCAGCGCTGGGACCCCACACCACAGTGGCCCCCACAAAGCTAAGGTGTTCTGTGGGGCTCGGGCTTCAGCCCCAGGCAGCAGGGTTCAGCCTGCAGCTTCCTGCCCTGTGCCCCAGCGCGTCTAACGCCGGCCCTGGTTTCAGCGGATGCTCACTGGGCACAGAACCATGGGTCATGGCCGAGCTGTGCTGGTGTGGGGCGCGGGGTAGAGCAGTAGAGGCACACAGAGCCCCCCGAATATCCCGGGGCAGGGTCCCCACTCACCAGCCTCCCTTCGAGCGGAAGCACTTCTGAGCCTGGCACAACTGCTCGGGGGACAGGGCTGGGCCCCAGGTTTGGCAACGGGTCCATCTACGCAGTTCCCTTTGCCCGACCGAGCCCTAGATGGTCCCTATAAACAACAGACCGTGCTCTACGGTCAGCAGTTCTAGATTCAGCAGTCAGTGGGATGGTGGGTGATGCTTTATGGTTTTTTTAAACAGTTCTCACATAGGAGGCCAAAAACTAAGTGGACTTGAAAATGCTCTAATCGGAAAGATCCAACATGAACACAAAACACAGGCTACAACAGTGTAACAAAGAGCAACTCATCTACATTACAGCAAGGGGTGAAGTGTGTTTGTGAATCTCTTCCACGCCTCTCCTCCCCCACCCTGGTGTGTGAGCAGAACACAGGTATGTGAAATACTTGTAGTGAAACATGAATCCACCCAACATTTGAGTTTTTCTTGTATTACAAGAAATTTGTATTACAAATGCAAAACAGGTCCTATTTTCACAAACACAGCATTTCGCACACTGCCCTGACATTTTCTTGTACCGTTTAGTGAAAGGTAATGGAACGTGCATTTGAAAATGAAAGCTTTCCACCGCTGATATAAAATAATTCACTTCCCAATGCCAGCTCAGAAAGCTGCTGCCCCGGGTTTAGTTCCTTTTGTAATTAAGATACCACGTGTTACATTTTCAAACCACCACCTTCGAGCTTTCTCCCAGCCTTGCCTGCGCTCTCCCTCCACATCTGCCAAGCCACCCCACTGTCCTCCTGCAGATCCCTCCTTCAAATCTCTTCTGCTGTGATGGCAACAAAAGAACTTGACGATTGTCAGGCCACTGGTGGGCTGAGACCGCAGCCTGTTGTGCTGACCAATCTGGCCTCATTGTTTCTGTGCGCTCCCTTGTTGGTCGGTTTGCCTCCATCTGGTATCTTGTGTCTTACACTTAGATTGGAAGTTCTTTGTGCAGGGACTGTCGTTCTGTTGTGTGTTAGTACAATGGGGTCCTCACCCGGTCCGTGACTAGAGCTCCTAGGTGCGATGATAATATCAGTAAAAATAACAGCGGGAGGGATCGACAGTAGGGCAGTAATGAGCAGGATTGGGGATGTGGATCATCAGACCCAGTACTGTATCGGCATGCAAGTTACTTGCATCGATCGCAAGGGCCAGTTCTCCGGAGAAGAGGCGTGCAGTGTTCTTAGGGAGATAGCTATATATACACCCCTTCTCATCCGACTCCTGTATCTGAATGGAAGACATTCTCCCCTGCTGCTCCCATTACCCAGCAGCAAGTGTCAATACTCGAGCGAGTCTTTTGGTGTCAACAGAATCGGTCTCCTGGTAACCAGACTGTGATTATTTCTTTTTCAAGCTCCACAGCGTTACACAGAAATCTCTGTGTCTCGCAAGGTCCTAATTGTTCACAGTAATTTATTCTGTAAGTGCACTTGCCTCTGGAATGCAATCTGGGAACAAGAGTGCAGAGAGCAGAACAAGCCCTTGCTCAGAACTCAAGACCGAGTCAGTCACTCCCAGATAGCAGGAAGGCATCAAAAGGCTTGGCAGTACAGAGGAGCCTGCAAAACTCGAGCTTTTGCTCAAGTGTCTTCTAATTCTTGAAGTCTCTTGGGTCTGCAAAAACCGGCTACAGATCTTGCCAAAACTGGGTCTTGTGAGACCTCCACAACTTCCTACTTCATGTCTGGCCAGAATTAGCATGATCGCTGCCTGGGCCCGGGTATTCCAGACTTCGCCCTGCCATGCCAGACTGGAGCCCTGAAAGCCTGAAGCAGCAGCCAAAATAACAACGGCGGAAAAGAATTAATCAGGCTTCAGAAAGGTTCGCACTGAAGAGCTTAGTGTGAGCTGCAGGGAGGTGAGAGTTGTCCTGGTTTACGGGACCTGGTTCACCAACCCTGCTCTGAAGATGAGGCAGAACAGACCAGCCAATAGGATCTTATAAACACTGCAAAACAATTCTAGGATGCCATCAACACCAACCAACCAACCTGCATACAACAACGCAAGGAACACAAAGTATTTGCCTTAAACTCTCAGCACGTTCCCCCTGGGACCTGACCGTGTCCAACTTACTTGGATGTTGTCAAATGATGCTCTGTTTGTAACATCGTACAGCAGTAACAAAGCTGTGGAGAGAGGAAAAGACACAGTTAATGCAGGTAGTTGCTCGCTGAATGGTCAAAGGGGTTTTGTTTGTTTGTTTTGCTTTTTACAGCAAGATGTTTTCAGGGCGATGAAACTGAATGCTGAGAAATTCAAAGTTATGCACACTAGAAAACATAAGCCCAACTGTACATGCAAAATAATGGGTCTATAGTTAGCTGTTATCACTCAAGAAAGATCTTGGAGTCATCGTGGATAGCTCTCTGAAAACATCTGTTCAGCAGCAGTCAAGAGTGAACAGAGTGTTGGGAACCATTAAGAAAGGGATAGATAAGAAGACAAAATATCATAATGCCACTATTTAAATCCACAGCATGCCCACACATTTAATACTGCGGGCAGTTCTGGTCACTCCAGCTAAAAATATATATATTAGACTTGGAAAAAGTAAAGAGAACTGCAACAAAATTGATTAAGGGGACGGAACAGCTTCCATATAAGGAGAGATTAAAAAGACTGGGACTGATCAGCTTCGAAAACAAACAGCTAAGGGGGGATATGAAAGAGGTCTGTAAAATCATGATTGGTGTGGAGAAAACAAATAAGGAAGTGTTATTTACCCCTTCACATAACACAAGAACTAGGGGTCACCCAATGAAATAAACAGGCAGCAGGTTTAAAAGAAACAAAAGGAAGTACTTCCTCACACCACACACAGTCAATCTGGAACTCATTGCCAGGGGATGTTGTAAAGGCCAAAAGTATAACTGGGTTCAAAAAAGAATTAGATAAGTTCATGGAGGATGGGTCCCTCAATGGCTGTTAGCCAAGATGGTCAGGGCGGCGACCCCATGCTCTGGGTATCCCTAGACCTCTGACTGCCACAAACTGGGACTGGACAACAGGGGATGGATCACTCGATAATTGCCCTGCTCTGTTCATTCCCTCTGAAGCATCTGGCACTGGCCACTGTCAGAAGACAGGATACTGGGCTAGATGGACCATTGGTCTCACCCAATATGGCCGTTCTTACATTCTTAGGTTCATGCAAAAAAGCAAAAGCTTTGTACTTGTATTATGTGTTTTACTGAAATCATTGGTATCTCTCACAGTGGGTTAGGAAATCATGAAGGCACCCTCCATAGAACAGTCTTCTTTTTGTAAATTTAAATCCATAGTAGGAACCTTCTCAGCTATGCAAAACTTGCATGGGAATTGCACCGGTCTCCAGAGAGCCTGAGAGCCCCAGAGGACAAGCAGCATTCTGAACTCTCCCTGCCACAGCACTGAAGACGCAGCCTGTCCTTTTAAGGAGACATTAACACCCCAGGCGCAGGATGCAAGCTCCCCCCTTGCTGGTGGGGGCGGCAGCTGGGGACCGGGAAAGCAACTGGCAATTTTAGATAATTGTCATTGACAATAAAGTAGCACCCGAGGCCCCATTGTGCGGGGCACAGGAATGTGCCTACGGTCCAGGAAATTCAGAGTCCAGAAAGAAATGACCGAAATCTTGGCAAGGACGATGAACAGAGATGACCCAGCTGCATAGCACCTTCACAGACTGGTCTACAGCACCTCGGGCTTGATTCTCACGTGTACTCCTTCCTGACTGCCCGACGGGGGCCAAGGGGCCTTCGGATTAATGAGAATCAGGCCCTCTCTATAGGTATTATTCAGTTTTAATTGACACAGGGCAAGAACGGGAACTTCCCATGCATCTCATTCAGGAGCCGAGCGTCCTGAGCATTATTGCAGTGGTTTACGCAAGTGCCTCTCTCGCCTAGTCTGTAACCTCTTCCCGGGATGCTCCTCTGTTGCTCAGGGAAAATCTTACAGGAACAGCTCATGCTGGGGGCAGAAGGGCCATCTCCCTCTTTCATTTATCACATGAACCAACTGGAAGAATGCACAACACAAGGGAAAAAAATAGCAGAGGCCAAACTACTACAACCCGGGGGAGACCCCAATGGACAAGCCTGCTCCAGCGCAACATGCCTGCCAGAACAACAGGCGTGTGCTATACATCCGGGGGCTTGGTACTTCAGTGTGCCAAAGACGACAGAGGACTAGATGACAGGGGAGAATGAGAATGTGACAGTGAGTCCTTAATTGCTAAACACTGGTTTGAATCCTGGCCAGGTCGGTGGCGAATAACCAAAACCCATCCCTAACTAATGGCTGTTCAGTGGCTTAAGTTTGCACATCACAGTTGGCAACAACTGGTCCCTTGAAGGGGAACTCAGCAAGAGGTCCCATGGACCTACAGGCCTTGGAGATGGAGATTATCCTCTCAGATGGGGCCCCCTCCAGGGTCACGTGGGGGTACAAGGGCAGTGCAGTGTGGGAGAGTATTACACAGCTGCTGCATCTGCAGGCAGAGAATTCAGCTGCCAGGGGTCTCAATTCAGCAACCTTCACAAGCTTTAGGGGCCGGCTCCAACTCCCATTTCAGGCAGGAGAGCTTTGGCTGGCGCAGGATTGAGGCCTTTCAGGTAAATCCATGCCCCTCCCTGCGGAGTGCGTGCCGAGTGCCTGGCTTAGTCACATGTTCTGTCTTTAAAGGAATACGGAATTAAAACGCAACCTCCAGAGTTCCACTTGCTTTTGCATTTTAACTTCAGCCTCGCTGCTAAAAAAAATACATCAGAGGCCAGCCTGGGGCGGGGGGACCCGCCCTGACGCTCCCCCGTCCCTGTTCTCTATTGCGGTGTGCTACTCCATTCCCTCTCAGAGAGAAACAAGAAAACTCTCTCAAGCCCCCTGAAAACTCAAACCCTGCCTCTCCACCACGCCCCTCACGCCCCCAATTCCCCAGCCCTCCCTGGGACCCAAACAAGGGGATGTACGAGAAGGCTAGTTTTAGGGCTAGTCGTCAGCCAGTCGGCCCCTTGCTGCCCCTGCTCGACCACATCTACGGATGCTGCAGATGGTGCACTTAGAATCGACACTCTGGGGCCAGAGTCGGGATGAAGATCCCAACTTCACCAAAGTCCAGGACTGCTTGGATGCAGGGTTTGGTTCAGATACATCTCTACTGTACACTTTAATGCTCTGACTACAGGGCCGGGAACCAGCTGGGAAGCATCCTCTCTAACATACACCGTACCCAAGTACAACATGCCCGACATACAAAGGACACCATATCTTTCCCAAGAAATCAATTCTCTGAAAGGAAGGTGAGCTGCCGTTCCTTTCTCCAGCATTGTTCATGGGCACATCTAATATTGGCTTGAGACTGTTCAGGGAGCCAAAGCTTTACAGAATAGAATTACGTCCCAGTTCCTCTAAAGGTCTATGCTCTATTTCTGTGACTGAGCACACAATAGCTACAGTAGATTGGAATAAATGAATAAAAACCTAGATAAGTCACTAACTCGTGATTCCGAATTTCACACCAAGTAACAGCAAATGTTCTCCTAACACACTGGCTATCATCAGAGCAAAGCGGCTATAACATTATCCCTTACCTGGCTGCACTCGGAATCTTTCACAGTGAAATAGTGACACCCAGGGCCGGCGCTTCCATTTAGGCGACCTAGGCAGTCGCCTAGGGCGCCAGGATTTGGGGGGGGGGGGCAGCAATTCGGCGGCGGGGGGTCCTTCCGCGCTCCG